AAGGCAAAGGGCTGCTTTCTGGTAGGCACTGTGTAACTGCAGAACAGCTCCCCTCTCCCAGGCAGCTTCCAGTTTTAGGGAAGAAAGAAGAAATAATGAATTAATACTGGTTATGACTGTGACAGACAATTCTGCAACCTCACTGCTGGGTATAAGTATCAGCCCAAAAGAACACTTCAGCTTCTTCAGTGCTGCTTCAGAAAGCTTCAGTTGGAGAGTACTGGGGTTTCCTCCAGCTGTGGGCTGCTAGGGGCTGAGTGCGAGTTCAGATTTTACAGAAGTAAGTCACGCTTGGTGTGCTGCTATCAGAGGGACTTCCTGAGACTGAAAGTAGCTCTGTCATACGACCACTTAGTTCAGAAATCTTGGCTGGCTTCCCTTCTGAGGCCCTGATAGTGCAATAATGCAAAAACAATAAAAGTCTGGTACAAAACGCAGTGCAAAGTCTTTAGTCCTTGGATTGGGCTGACGTACATCACACAGCCGTAACAACGCCCTTTCCCGCATGAGCTGGTCACGTTAGCAGTTGAGCTGTTGCAGGGAGTTGGGTCATGGGCAGGTGGACAGGAACTAGTTCTGCTCTGTGCCGCTGCAGAGGGGAACATGGTATCCAAAGCAGGGAAATGTGGGAGCAGTTAATCCTGACTGCTGAAACCAGTGCATGTTTTGTCAGTGGTCTTAATGGAGGCAGGACTTTAGCTCAGCAAAGTGTATCGTTGCTCCTAACCTGTCCTGTAAGCCTTTCTCATGTTGTATGCTTATGGCAAGGCATTACCTAGGATGCCTTGTTATTTCCTTTGACTTACTTGATATTCTGCTATGCACTCCCATCTCTTTTAAGAACAGAATGCTACGTGAATGCCTTACGGGCTCTTTCTCTTTCACTGACCTTTTTTTATGACTTTAAAGAAGTTTCCCTAGGCCCAAGTCTGCTTTCTGTCTTGAATATTGACCTTAGAGTTGCACCGTCTCATTGTCACTGCACCCAGACTTCTCAGCTATCAAAGTTCACTGACAGGACTCAAAGTATTCCTAACTCGGAAACACCTTGCCTTTTATGTCCTTCTCCTCTTCCCCCGCCTCCCTTCACAGGAGCATTTTAATTTCACAAGCAAACTCTGTTTCTCTGTGAATTTAGACAAGTGGTTTACCTGTTTCATGGTAAAAATTGTACTTCAAATTTAAATGTCTTTTTCATTGTGACTGTCATAATATTTTCCATTTGAGGCTGAGACTCCACTGTGGGTTTTCTGTGCCACATTGTCATCTGTATGAATCTGAGCTTAAACGCGTGGAAATTCTGACATTTCAGTAAGAAATATAAAGTGGGTTTTTTATATTCTTCAAGTTATCTGTTTCATAGGCACGGCCTCGGGGTTTTGCCCAGTCCCCTGGTCTTTCCCAGTTCAAAAACAGATTGAAGATTTCTCAAGATTTTGGGCTTGTTTGCATTCACTGTATTGTGTCATTTCTATAAGAATGAGTGATGGTAATTTTTTATCTGATTGCTTACCCTGAAAAAGTGATAAAGGAATAATTACCCCAAACCAGGAATTTCCAACCTAACTTTCCTTGGGTGCCACTACCATCGGCAGCGGTGGTTACGTATGATGATGAATGTGGTGTCTCTGTACCACGGTCTTCAGTGAGGATATCGGACAAGGTGGCTTTATACCAAGCAAGCTGAGCCAAACTTTAAGTGGCTTCACAGTGGAAATGGCTCCATGGTGGAAAGAGCTGCCTTCAGTGGGGGCTTGGAGAGGGTTTTGGTAGGCTATAGCGCTGTTGAGTTCTTTGCAGTCAAACCAATGGCCTATAGACCAGGACTGCTCGTGCCCAGCGGTGCAAGCCACATGCTTTGGGGGCATATTTTGACTATTAACGTTTACCTACTGTACAGTATTTGACAAAGGCTGAAATCTCTCTTGGTAGTCATGTGGTTTTGTGCGGTGGTTTGTTACGTGGAAGAAAGTATGCTGTTGAGGAGATCACCGGAATTGAATTCTCGTATATGCTTTTGCATCTTCCGATTGGGTAATATGAAATATGGAAAAATGTACACCCACTGGCAATGTTCACATACCCAAATATATATATTTTTGTCATGAGTTACTTTGAGAATACGAGGGGAAATTTGGAGCTATTTCAATGACCTGACATTTGTCAAAACGACAAGGTTTCTAAAATCCAGCCCATAATTGCTGCCTCAGCTAGCTACACCTCTTACCAAATGGGTTGTTAGAACTGCTGGTGACACAAACTGCTACTGTTGGAACCGATTCAGTTGTGGTCTGACCTGATCAATTACTCTGCAACCCAAGTCACAGTCAGTTTGTACAGTTTTATAGCATAAATCAGATGTTACACATGTGGGGCTATGATGTGATCGCATCTGTAGAGCAGGGGAGGACAGAATTTGGAAATTAACCCGAGGGAGTTGTATTTGATCCTACTCAACTGGAACTCACAAACGTCATTCTTCACGGTTGTGTCTCAGCAGCTTCCAGTTGTGGATTGGGCAACATGACTAACATTTGTCACATGTTGTTTATTCTCTTATCTTTTCCCCAGAGGAAGGAGCATGTGTGCTGGAGTATTTCTTTCCTTGGGGAGTTACGTTCCTCAAATCCCATATTGCATGTAGAAATTGCACCTTTGTCATTAGATGTTATCATCTATGAACCTTGAAATTTGATGGAATTTGGATAGCTGACCATCACTGGAAAAGTTCAGCCTTGTGTGTGAATAGTTTGTGAAATTGTTGTAATGCAGGGAGCAACCATTTGAAGAGGTGTAATACCAATTTTTTTTTTTTTATTGTTGAATCAATTTTTTGTATTGAGAGCTTGTAGGGGAATATGTTTCTCTGGGTCAAACAATAATACATTTAATTCATTGTAGCTACCTCTGGAATAGCTGAGAGGAATCATCCCTTTCCCTTACATCTTACAGTTATGTCAGCTGCTTGATAACCTGGTGTAGCCAAACCAGGTGGGCTAGTTCAGCCCTGCTTCAGCTTGGTTAACTTCCTCCCTTCAGCTACATTGGATTTTTTTGTTTAGACATCAAGTTAGCTTCTAATAAAGGCACCAGACTGACAGGCATTGATGCCATCTACACGCATGATGAAGCATCGTAATAGTGATGATAAAAATCTTTCCATCCTAGGGAGCTGCCAGTGTGTTTTCCTAAAGGTGCTTCCAGGATGAGAGGTTAAAGAGCTGAGGCTTGATCCAGATCGCTCACATCAAGGGCAATTACTCTGGGAATGATAATGAGCCTCACACTTGGCCTCCACAGAGATTTCCAGTACCAGCGCCAGTTACAGCAGCAGTGTGAGCTAGCGAGCAAAATAAAATAAAGACCACAACAACTTGAGACAAGGTTTGAGAGACAGTACTTCCTGAGGATGGACCTTATCTCTAAATAATCCAGAAATAACTCCACAGTTGGAACACTTATTAAAAGCAGCGTTTTCTCCCCCATGGAAAACTTGGTTGTGTCACTGAACTGCACACACAAACAAACTTTTTGAGGGAAATAGAAACTTTTTTTCAAGTGTGTTCATTTAATCAAATCCCCTTTTTCTGAGACAAAAACTGTTGACACTTTTTGACCAGCGCTGATACTAGAGGCTCAGGCTTTTTAATCTTCCATCCTATAGGGATGTGGGGCACACGCTGCCGTACGCGCTGGTGCTGCAGAGGCCCCAGAGAATTTCCCTGACTCTAGGTCGCTTGTGTTTAGGGCTTCAGCCTCGCAGCAAGGAGTCCTCTGCCCGGCTTCTTGTTGGCTACAGGTGTCCTCCCCGCAGCTTCCCCTGCATTTTCCCATCTCAGTGGTGACAGTGCCTTTTGGCTGCAATTAGTATAGCTTGGATTTCATTAAGTAAATGACGGTGAAAAGCTTTCAATACAGAAACATTTATATTATCCAACAGAGGATGTTCTCAATTTATTTGGCCGGAAACTAAAATTCTTACCTAAGATTTTCAAAACTCTGGAAGAAGTTTGACCTTCCCCATCCCTCAGCCAGCTCTGAAAATTGCAGCTGATGGTGTTTTACTAGACTTGCAGTACTGACTTAATAGCTCTTTAGTTATTAGTGAATAAATGTTCATGTTCTACAAGTTTAAATTATATTAAAAAGCTTTATTAGCACAACTTGGCAAAATATACTTCTGGCGAGCTTTCTGGCTTTGGGTTAGGCCATTCTTGTGGTTTCTTAATGACATGCTACGAAAGGGATATACTTTGTGAGAATCTGGTGCCAGGTTTTGCATGTATTAAAAGGCATTTGCCATTTGTTCATAATGCTGCTGAGTGGAACAAAAACAAAATTAAAAATTTCATTGTACATGGCCTTTAATATTTTTTTATTGTATATATATTTATTATTATCTGGTCTCTGTGAATTACTGGTGGCAACTCATTTCTGGCATGTAGCAGTGCTGTTACCAAAGTTACCTTCTGCTGTCTTTCATTTTCCAACCTTCCCTTAGTAATTTTGATAAAGTTGTCTCAACAAAAGAAGAACTTCGGTGGGCTACGTAATGGCTTTCTCCACAGCTGGGAGCAGAATTAGGCCACTGGGGCAGCACATTTTTGTGAAGGCAACTGTTCCTACTATGGACAAAATGTCTCAGAAGTTTCTTTACCACGAGACGTGGTGATACACAGGCTGTGCTGGGGTGTGATTCAGCTGTTTGTTTTGTTTCCCCCTCTTGTCGTCTGTTTATTTGCTTTGCGACCAACAAGTCTGCCTCTTTTTCCTTCTGCTGTTGCTGCACATCAGTGTGAAAAACGGATGGGGCGCAGTACCCAACGGGTGGGAGGAGGTGTGTGCGGTGGGAAAACAGGGCTGGGAAAAAGGTCTGAGCCTTGAGTAACCTTTCTTTGGTGTCTTTCCATCGCAAGAGTTGTTTCTTGCAAAGGTGTGATTTTTGATAATGAAAAGTGGGTTGCAGTGGATCTGACCTGATGCTCTCGTTCTTTCCGCAGTGGGGAAGCCTCACAAGTGCAACTACTGCGGCCGGAGCTACAAGCAGCGCAGTTCGCTGGAGGAGCACAAGGAACGCTGCCACAACTATCTGCAGAATGTCAGTATGGAGGCTGCCGGGCAGGTCATGAGTCACCATGGTGGGTGGAAACCGCCTTTTGAGGTCTCTTGGACTCGGAGCATCTCTTGCGGGTTTTTTTCCATCTGTTTTTCTTCCTTCCTTTCAGCTTTGCATCACTTCCATCTTATACATTACTTATAGTCAGATAGGCAGCACACAGATTTAACAGCACTGTTCTTGCTGACTTTTTTCTTTAAATCAGTATTTCACTTTTTACTATGTATAAATATGTAGACATGAATATAAAGCAAAGTCACCTGTGCAAAGTTACTCTAAAAATGAACTAAGCCGTGGATAAAATGTATGATTCTCTTCCTCGTCCTTTCTAGTGACTGGTAATCATAAGAGATAAGGATGGTGGAGGTATTCAGAAGTCATTATTTCTGCTCTCTGGAATATTATCTTATATCCCAAAAAAGGGAGGGATAGATATAAACATCTCCAGAACAGAATGGAATTCAACAGTGTTGATGACAGTAATTATAACCAAAAAAAAGTTTATATGCATTTACAGGTTTTAGTATTAATAGGTTAACTAACACTGTGTGTGTTAAGATACATAAAGACTGAAGATTGACAAAAAGATTGTTGAAAGCAAGAAATGTCAAACTCCATGAATTTGTTCTCGAAAATTTCTGTAGCTATTAGTATGGATAATGTCTCAGACTGCAGGGTTGTAGGCTTATCTGTAGCATTAAATATTAAATCGTAGCTTGCCAGAAATTGTTACGATTTCATTCAAAATTAGTGTTTCGGAAACTCTTCTAAAACTGAACATCTTTTAACTTCTAAAAGTTGTCTTTAGATGTTTGGTACTTGAAGTATTTAAAATTTCTTAGTAATCAGAAAATATAAAAATTATACATTTTCCATTTTGATTAAAAATTACTATATACCCAAGAATACCAAAAAGTTAAGATTGTAGGTAAATTAAAAGGCAAAAGAACATTTCCTCTTTTTTTTTCCATTTTGTTTTTCATTGTTTAGTGGACTCATATGGCTTCATTTGAAAAGGCAAAAGAACATTTCCTCTTTTTTCTTTCCATTTTGCTTTTCATTGTTTAGTGGACTCATATGGATTCATTTGGAAATCAATTATGTAAAAGTTCTGAAAAGTCATTTCTAAAAACCTAAAAATACAAGCTGAAGTAAAATCTATTCCGCATTTCTAATATGGGCTATTTTTTCTGGTGAAAAAAAATCACCAAACATTTTTAAAGAGTACTTTTCCATGAACAATTTAATCCTATAAAGGCATTCTAAATGTTTTTAATACCTGTTACCAAAATGTTCATACAGCTCATTGCTATCTTTGTAGACACCCTGGAGACTAAAATCCACATTTAAAATGTGATGGGTGGCTTTAAAGACATTGAAGTTAGTGATTATCTGCTTTAGGCCTGACTTGTAAAAATCAGTGGAAAGACTGATTTCAGGGCTTTTGCTGTTTGCGGGTACCTGTGGTATGCTTGGTCTGTTAGACAGAGTGCCTAGCTAATAGTAGGAGTTTAACCACCAGCTCCGTTCCCAACGAAATACACGCTCTTCACTTTGCAGAGGTGTGCCTGTCTTATTAACCAGCGAGGTGATGAGTTCAGTCAGCTTTCCTTAGGGGAACGGCAGTAGGCTGATACAGTTATGACAGCCAGGATGTTTCAGATGTCACGTTGCGGAAGATCTTCACAAATTCCGCCTAACTTCTGGGTTTATTATTCAGTTATTTGTTAAAATGGGGTTTACTCTTGTTGGTAGTGTACTTGTGAGGAAATCTAAAGCTTTTTCCAAGCTGCTTAGTGCTATGACAAGAAGGGTAAGTCCTTAAACCTTGTCTGCCCAAAGATCTGGAATGGTTAACCTTGCACTGATTTTTCTACCAACTGAAGTTAAACCAGTGCAAACCCCACGTGGACAGTTCTTCTATTTACAGCCTGACTGAATTTGCTTGGGCTTAAAATAGAAATGTTCACACAACCGCTTTACTTTTCTCAACAAAATTACCTTAAAAACCAGCACTTTGAATTCAACTAGTGCCTCTTTCTCCTCTGGGCAAATATGCCGACATCTCCCCTGGTGCACGTTGAAGGGATGTTTGATCCACTGTCTTCATTGTGCAGTTTAGCGAGGTCATAACGAGGACAGGCAGCAACAGGGAGCTCCAAATTCAGCTGGGACCAGTAATAAATCTCATCTCGCATCCCAGCATCTCTCCCACCCCTGAAGCTCATCATGGGAGTGAGGGTCATGAGCACCAAGCTGCAGAGGTCTGCAGCACAGTCCTTTGGGACTATAAAGACACCAGGGAAGAATATACAAATGATTACTCAGCTTAAAGCTGGGTCTTAGTCTAACCCTGAAAAATGTATTAATTTCATTTTCTCCCATGTCACACATGGAAAGGGTATTCCTGAGGATGAGTGAGCGTGTACTTTGGAGATTTTGATCGTTGGTTTGTTTTGCATCGCATTGGGGTTAAGTTTTCCTGACTCTCTTTCCAAATAATTTTAAAGTATTTTGTTCTTCTGAGTGTTTTGAAGCCTCTGAATGCATTTTGATGTGACTCCTCGTCACTTCACCGTTATGCACAGAATAGGTAGAGGTAGGGATTTTCTATCCCTGCCAGCATCCTGCTTTAAGGATGCAGGCAGCTTTGCTGGGTCTTAGTCAATATGGCCAACTTTTAACATTGGTCTAAATTATTTCTGCAGAGATTAATTGTTACCGAAAAGTGGAGGCATTCCCTAAAGAGTCTGGAATTTTTTCAAGCATTGTGCTCAAGTTGATCAGTTTATAGGCATGCTACAGACATCTACTTGGGTGCTTTTGCCTAGCCTGAGGAGGACTTTAATTTCAATTACCTTTGTCTTGCAGATGGCTAGATCACCTGACTAAAGCTGCAAGGGGAAGTGAGAGGAGGGGAAGGAGGGCTAGTTTCAGAGTGTGGGTAGGAATGTACAAGTCTCCGGGTCTCCATCCACTTGCAGGGTGCCAGTTGCTTGCTGAGCTGCCCCTTCTTGTGGCTGGGTCCTTTTCCCTGCTCAGCAGGACGGCTGCTGGAAGAGAGCTCCCATGACTTCATTGTTGGCAATTTTCAGCTAAGCAGTGCTGGCCCTGGAGGTAGAAATTTGTCTGAAGTCTCCTAGCTAGTGGCATGTTGAGGGTAACAAAAGTGACAGTCTCTGAATACCAAGAACATGATCTTTACAGGAAGGAACAGGGAGAAAAGTTGAATGCTAGCTATGGTTTGCACCTGGTACGTTCTCCCCCATCTCCACAAAGCAAAAAGTCCAGAAAAATTCTTAAAGTGGTGTGGAGAAGAATCGTCTTTTTAGGAGAAGGAGAAAGAAGCCTAGCCCTAGGCTGTGCCAGGCTCAAAGGCCAGCTCCACATAAAACACACAATGGCCTTGTGTCCTGCCCTCTTACATAGTTGCTTAAAACATCGTTAAAATGCTGGTCCCACAGGAGACTTCACACCAGGGTCCATGGGAATATTTCCTGTCATTTCCCTGCACACATACACTTTTTTAAATAGCAATATTGTGAGCTGAGGAAAGGAAATTGACATTGATGGAGTAATACTAATTTATACCAGCTGAGGCTTAGCCCAGTGTCTGTACAAAAGTATTTATCAGCAAAACACATACTGGGTAATTTTTTTACTTCTTTTTTCCCCCTATTCTTTCCTCACTGCAACAGCATAAACTTTTTTTACCAGTGTGTGTGGTTTCTTACAAATTAAGAAGCAAAAACTAAAAGACACCTGCTTTGAGCACTATGATGGAAAGACCAATGTCTTCAGGAAAATAGAGCCCTTGTTCTGAAGACCATCCACGTTGGTGTGTTGAGAGTTTGGGCTTAGGAACAACATTTGGTGGTAACTGCAATTGAAGACATTAACAGTGTCAGAGATGGTGAACATTTTTGCGTGGGCAGTCCAGGGGTGCACACTGATAGCTGATTAAGAACGTCCCTGAACAGAAACATACTCAAGTGTGGGCTTTTCATGCACTAGGCACTTGATTTTTAGAATAAAAAAGCCTTCCTGCGCTGAGACCGTAAGTTCACAGTTCACTAAAATGAGTTGCTGTATCAAAAGCTAGTTATAATGTGTCAGCTGTTTTCAGCAGCTCCCAGTACCATGGTAATGAAGTACACTAAAATACAACAAAAAAGGCATTGCATTTACTGCAGAGTAAATGTGTACACATGAGCTTCTACCCCAGAGCAACTGATTTGTGATAACTGTTGGCTGTGTGTGATCAGTTTGCTTTTCCCCTTTATATTTTGTTTTTCCTCAAAAAAAAAAAAAAAAAGAAAAAAAAAAACAGGCTGGGCTCTTTGTCCTTTATTTGTATATTTTTAAACTGAAATGAAAATTAATGTATCTAGAATTGACAATGTCATCAGTAGCTTACCTCTTTGGGTTTCTAAAATGTGACATCTCACCTGTTTGGTTCAGTCTTGCATGTAATTTAAATGGTTTCAGAAACTAGGCTATTTCCATTTCTCCCAGGAAATCTACATAACAAAACACAATCCAGTAACTTATTCCCATTGTAACACAAATATGGCGTAACTCAGGGATTCTGTTGCAAAAGAGCCATACCCCGGATTATAGAGTTGAGTGCTGAGGTGGGAAAAAGCTTGCAGCATGAAAGATAGGAAAGAAAATGCTTTTATTGGTGATGATTTTACTTTTAAAAGGAGTCCAAGCAGAATTTTTGCCTGACTTAGAGAAGAGCAGATGTCTTTTTTAGCACTATTCATTTTTCATGGAAGAAAGGTTTCAAATTCCATCTAGGAAATTTTGCACACATATGTCCAACAGTAGAATTATTTAATTATTACTCAATTGTTACAAGACGTACAGATGTCACTACTACATTTGGGGCTTAATCAGATGGCTATGAAAGTAATCAGGAGGTTTTCAACTGATTTTGTGGGCAAGTACAGTCCTACAGCATGCCTTTAGGAAGTGTTCCTAGGAGGGATTTAGAGCCGTCTGCACCTGCCTAGGTCCGCCCCCCGACCAGCCTTGTGTGTCCTGTACGCCAAGGGCAGGAAATTCTTGAAGTGGCACTCACGTGCAAACCTGGCCCATCACAGTGAGGGTGGGTATTGCCACTGAGCAGGGATCCAGGGTTTTGCGCAGTGTGTGTGTGCACGTGCATGCATACGCTGATTTTCGGTAAGCCGGAAGGACAGTCGGACACCAGTTCCCAGTGAAAATCAACAGACATCATCTTTCCTTTCTTACAAAATCTCCTCGATAAATACTTGAGTAGAACTAGTGCAGCTAGCTCCTGACCAAGCATAGTATTTAAATTAGCTTAAAAATTTAGCCTTAGCTGTTAGTGTTCCAGACCTCCCAGTCTGCACTGGGCATTAATTAGGTCACTCGAACACTGCATCCCGTTTTGTTGCAACATCAGATTCATTTTGTATTTATGCCTTTTCTCCCTCTCTTTCACTGATGCCAGCAGGACTGCCTTGTAAATGAGAAACCATTGTGTTTCTCAGGGGGAGCATCCTGTACAAATAAAAAAGCAGCAGAGTAAATCATTTTATAGCATATGGTAGACTCTAAGCCTCAAAGTACTCAGCTTTCCATAGCAGCAGAGGCACAAATGGAATCAAATGAATAAATTGCCATGTTTTCTTATTATGAATGTCTGAATTGAGAAGTTCACCTCAGCAGACACTCTGTTTTGTAATTGCCTGGTATTTGCTCTTCCTCACTAGAAAGAAGGCAAAGACAAGGCTTTTATCACCCTATTTTTCATTTTTAATGTGCTAGCAAACAGCTGCATATTTAAGAACAGGGGAGTGATTATTCCATATTAGGATCCTGAAGGTAGTAAAGTTACACGGGAGGAAAGCAGGCTGGTGGTCTTCATTTATGGCACAGTCTCAGGGACAAGGTATCTGACACGAAAGGCTGCTGTGGAGAGAGACCAGAAGAGGACTAGCAGAAGATGTGAGTTTCAGTCCTTCTCGACTACCTCTGCAATACCAGCCATGGCTTCTCTGGAAGATTTATCTAACGCAGAGAATGCAACAGGTTGCTCACAATTTACAAATTGTAGGAACTCTTTGCAAGATCATCCCAGTTTCTGTTTCTCTGCCATCAATTCTTCTCCTCGAATAATTTGTTACACCTCAACCATCCCATTAGCACAGGGACTAGTGGCTGGTCCTTCCCAGGTTTCTTTTGCTACCTGATGAATGCAGGACAATTGGGCCATTCATGAAATTCATGGCAGCAGAGCAGTGGGAAGAGCTACACGTGGAATCCCACTGTGGACATATACTGCAAATGACTCAGAGTCTCTGAGCCTGACCTGCAGCATGGTACTGCTGACCCTTCTTGGTGTTTATAAGAGGCTGCTCAACAAAAACAGAGTACTCTGGAGGCATTTAATGATTAGATATGTCAGGAAGCGACATAAAACCCTGTGCAAGTTGGTCACTACCCTGGTCGGTAGCCCATGCAGTTCATATGCTCCTTTTGCTCTAAACCTTATTCTCCAACCCAACAAGCAACAAAGAGTGAAATAGGGAAAGAATGGGTCATTATTTTCTTGTTATTGTCTCAAAGACAATGTATGAACTTTCCCCTAACGTAGTTAGCACAGGAATGCTCCCTGCTGATCCCAAAAAGTGGGAAGACAGACTCAGAAGACTTGCATTCACTGGTTGTTAGGTCTATGTTTGAAGGGATAAAATATTAACCAAAAATTTGATAGTTTCTGCAACTGATTCTGAAGGGGCTTTCCATACGATGTTAATCCTGTAATTCCAGTACAGTGTTTGTTGATTTTACAATCTCACATATAGAAAGAGGAAACACACTTTAACAAACAGATTGTTCATTCCAGAAGCCTTTGTCTTGGGGAATACACAGCCAGGCCCAGGAAATGCAAGTTATCAATGCCTTGTATGTGTTTTAGTCATTGAGGTTAGAAAAAAAAGAAAATAAGAACTGTAAGCATGCTATACGATAAGCATGAAGTTAAGGGAATACACGAAGAATGATAACTAAAAGGTTACACACAGGTGACCATATTGAAGGGAGAATAACAGAAAATGTGATCTACAGAGTGAATTTTCAAAAGTGTCCCCTCCTCACAGGGGATCTTGAGTATTCAGAACAAAAGAAGTCCTTTAATAAATGTTTAAAGTTGGGCTTCTGCTAAATAAGATGGTCCCAGGGGAGAGGCATTTGGTAAATGTGGCTCTGCTTAAAGGTGATTGCTATCTTGATGCCCAGTGTGTTCCTGCACCTTGCTTTATTTTGTGTTGCACTTGTTGCGCAATCAGCAGGGCTCAAATGATTTGTGTTGTCTGTGAAGCGTAGACCAGAATTGTCTGATAAAATTTTTTGGTTTTATGTAGTACCTCCTATGGAAGATTGTAAGGAACAAGAGCCTGTGATGGACAACAATATTTCTCTGGTGCCTTTTGAGAGACCTGCTGTTATAGAGAAGCTGACAAGCAACATGGGAAAGCGTAAAAGCTCCACCCCACAGAAGTTTGTGGGTAAGCTTGAAATACGCCTTTTATTATTTTTAGTGCATAGGAGTAGGTTACTTGTAATTTGTAATAGCTGAAAGAATAAGGGGGAAAGTAGCACGCTCAGAAGTTTGTTATGATGGGGAGGGACAACAATGGAGATGGTTAAATCACAGCAAGAAATCCTGAAAATTATTGAATTCATGTTACCAATCCAGAGCATTCAAAAGTAAGGTTCCCAGAACCATGAAAATGGATTAGAAAATCTTGAGCTTTTTACTGTGCCTTAGGGCTGTTTTGGTTTTTATGACTTTTCTCTGGCCCTTTTGAGATTTAGACTTGTCATCCTTCCCTCTCCTTGTCCCAGCAAATATTAAGACTTTCATATAATTATTTGTCTACATATATGTGTGTGTATTTAAAAAAAAAAAAAAAAGAAAAAAGAAAAAGAAAAAACAAGTGTCTCAAGACTTGTATTAGGTTCTTGAGAGTTGGCAACAAGTGATCTGATAATACCAGAATGAGGAAGTAAAATCACATCACTTCTGTTGGAAGAAGTGCTTCCTCCAAGTGCAATGTTCTGCACACAATAAACTTATTAACGCATGAATATAAACTGGCATTGGATGACTTTTGGTTACGAAATTTAGAATTCTAGGCCCACAGTTCATATTTTGCTTTGTATCTTGACATCTTAAAATTGTTCAGCTTGTAACAGGAGACAGTATGGGGAACTTTACTGGGTTTGAGCTGTAGCTTAAAGCTTCTTTTTGCTGCTACTGAGGCAGTGATAAACTTTTTAGAAGGGGAGATAGGACAGAGAATTATTTGGGGTAAAGTGTATGCTGCTAGACTCCGAAGTCATGCAATATGCATTTTCCACACTCGCTCCCTGGAAGGACAGTTGTACAGATTTTAAGGGTGTCATATACTCATTCTGCCTACACTGAGGACACTTATGGAGAGAGGATTGGAGACTGTAAGCAATTAACACAGCTATTTAGAAAAGTCATTGCCCCTCAGCTAAATGCAGGTTCAGATGGATTTGTTAAATCACCACTGACGGTGGTTTTAAGCTAACCCACATGGTTTTCAATAGTAGGGGGCTCGCAGCATGCAGCAGCTCACCTGGGGGACACTGACACACTGACCTGGTTGCTCTCAGTCATCTGACCATTCCCAAATATCAGTGCTAAGCCAAGGTTAGGTCAGGAACAGTCCAACCCATAAGAGGAATGCTGGGAGGCATCAGTATTTCCTATATTATTATTAGTCCTTCTGAGATAAAAGCTTAATTCTTAGACTGTTGTCTTTAAAAGTGGTTTGAAATGGATTACTGCATAGCTGATAAGAACTGGAGGATTTATACTCTGATTTAATTTACTGCTGTGACAACAGTTGGGGTTGAAGAGGGTGGAAATGGGAGCAGGACTCTACTGACAAGCCAAACACAGCTTTATGAGATTGTAAACACGGCCCCGTCATAGCAGGTTTTCCTGGTGGTGTCTCAGCAAGTGCTGCACGTTCTTGCAGGCTGTGATCAACACTGAAATAGTTAACCATGCTACCACTTAAACTGGTGTGTCTAGATCTCAGAAACCTGACAGCCTCAAAAGGAAGAAGGGGTAGTTCACACCTCTCGCTTGTCTTTCCCCTGGGTTGTCCATAGACTTGAACAGAATTGTGTTTGCAGTACCTCTCAGAGGCTAGTGACATTATCTGGGAGGGCTGTGGAGACCTTGCTCCCTTCCCTTAAATTTGGTGTACCTAGACCTGTTCTCTTAATCAGTACAGTTTACTCATTAGGAGCATACCTCACGACTGAGGCAGACCACTTTTTGTATGGTATAAACTGAATCAGGTTTTGGAAGCTGTAGATGATGGTCTCTTATTTTTTTTTAGACCAGAAAGATTATTTTACTTGTCCACTCATGTGCAATTGACCACATGTTGTTATTGTCTTCAAAGGCAATATTTACTGATTGGAAATCCTCACCTGAAATATGCTGTAGCAGATTATTATTCTCTTCAGTAGGGTATTCTACTTTGTTGTTAGATAAACCTGTTTCTTGTATAGGTGTAACAGATCATTTTGGTATTCCACTTTTTTCTGGGGCTAGGAATCCGGGGCTTCATGTGACATGCAGCTTTTTATCCAGATCCAGCTGTAGAGAAAAAGTGTCCTCTTTCATATTTACTGTATCTTATTTTTCTGCCTTTTCTGATCTTCCATGGCGTCATAGTGTTTGAAGTGAAAAACAGCAGTCTCCGCTTTGCTACTTTTCTTTTTTTACCATGACCTCACATTTCTTCCCGTTTTCTCCCCAATGAAATAGTGTTCGGCTCTATCAGGAAGAACTTGTAATGGTTCTCTCGCTTGCAGGAAATTTTCCTGTGCATACTGCAAGTGTGGCACCTGTCCAAAACAACTTAATGGTGTTTATGAGAAGGTCATGTAAGCATAAGCTAAAAATCTTTGCGTGGCACATCTATCAATGCTTTACTGCTCTTTCTGATCAGTCTCCAAGGGACCTTGGTTATGGACCACAGTCTCTAGTCTGGCTGAAATTTCAGGAGGAAAGGAAGCAGCATACAGCAACCAGAGTTAATTTCTGAGTGAGAGACTTGGTTATATATCTGCTATTCAGGTACTAGGCTTACCAAACCTGTTGAAATAGTGGAGTCAGAAAGTATAACTTGTGATGTGCAGGAATCTGAGTACTTGTTTTTGCCTCTCCTTCAATGAAGGGAGAAGCCGATGCTGGTGAAATTGAAAGCAACCATCTTCAAGCTGATCACATGAAGCAGTTTCACGTATTTTCAGTTTGAATGTGGTGCTCATTCTCACAGTGTCACTGAGGTTAAGAACTGGCAGGATACAAAAGGAGACAGTTATGTGGCTTATGATAAGACCATGGTTGTTAGAATTAAAACTACACAAGCATCTCAGAACAGATGAAGATCAACCAGCTTCAAAGTTAGAGTCAACTAATTAAGTTAATAAGGTAATTAACTAATTCTAGTTAATGGGGGTCAGGAAGAAATTTACCCAGTGGTAAATTCTGTAACTGCTTTCTCCAAGATTTCTTGCAGCTTTCTCCTGAGTGTCCAGCATTGCAGTTGCTTTAAATGCTTGATGAGATGGACTACAGGTATTGCAGGACAGCTGGTATTGCAGGACAGCCGGTATTGCAGGACAGCCGTGTGCTTTGATCTAGCTATTCAGAGGTTTTTTTTAATGTCATAGGATAAGATGACCACAGTGGAGAATGTTTCTTCTTTTATTTCACTAATGTGGGACAAGAATAAATAGAATTTGAGCATAATTTTGCATGAAAAATCAAAATAATGAATCTGATTAGTTATTTTTAAGTACAAATTTGGATAAAGAGGAATTAAAATTTAAAACCATGTTGGACTTGTTTGTTAATGTTTTTTCTGAGCTCTGTGTTTTACGCCCTCTCCTCCCCATGTTATAATTTATTTCACTTTTTTATGTCACACTCTATTTCTAAGGCTCTAACATCTTTGGAACTGGTTCATAATTAAAAGAATTAATAATTCAGGTCACTGGCAATTTACAGTTTTTTCTACTCTGCTGTCTATGGCAAAGTAACTAAACATGGAAGATAAAAGGAATCACAACAAGGTTTGCATCATTCATCCAAGTAGTCCACAAAGCATAGGTATTATTTCTTGATCTGTATAGCCTACAAAGGACGGACAGCGTGTTTGGTGGCTGGGTCGGACTCTCACCAAATCCAGTTCTTTATTCAATTACAATACAGGTGGCCAGAGCAGGTGACAGAGACCAATGCACTTTTCCATTTTCATTTCTATCTTCACACTGTGCCAAAGGCACCACACACCTCCTGGAGCTCTCCTCCAGTCCCACTTTGTTCCCACTTTGGGAAGGAGCTGCTCAATTTCACGTGAGGCTGAAGTCACTTCCGTTAAAGAGTTGTTGGTCCTGTCAGCAGCAGGACAGCTGTGACAGACAGCAAGACTGCCAGCCCATGCCAGAAACACTGAAAAGGGGATGTTTGATGGCGAGAATCATCCTTAGGTCACGCAAGATTACAAAGGCTATCATTGTAGCACCGTTTGCTTTTTCCTTCCTTCTCTGTTTTTCTCCAAATGTCTATGTGTAACAAAGGAATAGTTTTCTACCTTGTGCTTTCTTGCGATAAGTTATAAGCATAACACAGCAGGGAAACGTAGTGAGGTACGTGAGCATGGTGTTTAATCAGAAGCATGTGAGTAGTGCTGCTGAAGAGAGTAGGAATATTCACGTGCTTCAGTTTAGACATGCATTTAATTAACTTGCTAATCAGGGCTAGATTCCCAACCAAAAGTGATGCATCATTTCCGAGGATAACCTGATTGTTCTGTGGGTAATATGAAATTATTTCGCTCTTTGTGCATCACTTTAAGATAAGCTGCACTAAGTGAGTTATTATAGTCAAAAATAAAATGCTGAGTGATAGCTATGTTGAAATGTACTAATGCTATTTGGAAGACAGTTGGGATTACAGTTCTGTTTCTTTTTTATGGTGGTTTCTACACATTTTGTTCGAAGCAATTTTGGCAAAAGGTGATAGAAGCTTATTGAGTTCTTTAATTCTTGGATAGCCCAACAAGTTGTATGTAGTGACTCCCTGAATTTATTAGCTTGCACTATGGAAGAAAAGTCTGGTTTTATGTACCAAGGCAGTGAAAAGTAACAAAGACAATGAAAACCAACCAAAATTATTTATCAGAATTTGTAAAATCATCTTAAGAATTAACTGTCAACAGCTAGCTAATACATGTGTGTGGACACATGAGCATGTATATCTTGTCTCTTACACATATAGTTATACATATAACCTTTTCTATTTAAAAATAAGAGTTATTACATGAACTCTCCTTGTACTGACACTAAAGCAATCACTGGAAAAGCAGTGCTGCTGAGCTGAGCCCTGATGTAAGTACTGGTAAACTTCAAAGGAGAGCTGCGATACACAACATGCCCTGTGACGCGCATAATTTACCAGCATGTGGTTCTGGTTTCACATATCTGTAATGCCATTGATTTAAAAAGGTTACAAGGATGTGAATTTGGATTCACATAGTGATGACTCAGACAGCTTCATCATCATTATGTATTTATTTATCCTGTGTCAATGTAAGTTGCTTTAGCCTTTTACCAAATCAAACGAAGCTATACATGAGGTTTCTCTATTTTGTTTTCTTGCCTAAATAGACACTGAGGGGGTGGGTGTCTTTTTTTTCTCAATCCAAAACATTGGGATAGGATTTTTTTTTTGAGGGGAGAACTACAAAGAGACTGTAGCCTGAACACAAGATGGCAGGTCAGCCCCCAGTGCTGCTGTTACTTGCTCTGTTCTGTGGCCACATGCAGTCTTTTTTTTTTTTTTTTTCTGCTGGTTGAAGGATTTACATATTGCGGCTCTAAAGATGCCACCGCACCAGCTCCTTTTACCTGTTGCTTAGATTTCTCACTATGCTGCCCTGTTGTAAGGTATGTATGAGGCACCTCGCACTGCGGAGGACATGTGGTACTCCCTCCTTTAATTTTGAGAGAGTTTGTCTAATGGTATAAACCGGTGGAGCTTCATTGACATCTGTAGTTCAGTCCCATTTTCTACCAGTTAACATGTGTTGCCTAACTTGAAGCATGGGCACAGTCAGGCTCAGTGGAAGGTTTGGAATCAGTCTGGAGGTCGCTGCAGCTGCATGCTTCACCTGGAATACAAAAAAAGCTGTTGGTGAGGTTGCTGTTTGACCCATCTCAGGACAGAAACTTTGTAGGAGGTCAGTAAACAAGTAGAAGGAGGCTAACTTTGGACTCTGGAATGAATTTCACCCCAAGTCGGGGGTTTTCTGTCCCCCCCCATTCCCCTCCCTTTTTCACTGTAAAGTGAAACCTTGGAGTGATTATGTTGATTTTTCTCATTCGTTTGCTCTTGTCTCTTAGGTGAAAAGCTCATGAGATATGGCTATCCAGATATTCCCTTTGATATGAACCTCACCTATGAGAAGGAGGCTGAGCTGATGCAGTCTCACATGATGGACCAAGCCATCAACAATGCAATCACCTACCTTGGAGCTGAGGCACTTCACCCCCTGATGCAGCACACACCAAGCACAATTGCAGAGGTGGCCCCGGTCATCAGCTCAGCTTACGCTCAGGTCTATCATCCTAACAGGATAGAAAGGCCCATTAGCAGGGAAACAGCTGACAGTCACGAGAACAACATGGATGGCCCAATCTCCCTCATCAGACCAAAGAGTCGAACCCAGGATAGAGAGGGCTCCCCCAGCAATAGCTGCCTGGATTCTACTGACTCAGAGAGCAGCCACGAAGACCGCCAGTCCTACCAAGGAAACTCTGCCTTAAATCCCAAGAGAAAGCCAAGCCCGGCTTATATGAAGGAGGACGCCAAGGCTTTGGATGCCACAAAAGCTTCTAAGGGCTCTTTAAAGGATATCTACAAGGTCATCAACGGAGAAGGGGAGCAGATTAGGGCTTTCAAGTGCGAGCACTGTCGCGTCCTTTTCCTGGACCATGTCATGTACACCATCCACATGGGCTGCCACGGCTACCGGGACCCGCTAGAATGCAACATCTGTGGCTACCGAAGCCAGGACCGCTATGAGTTCTCGTCGCACATAGTCCGAGGGGAGCACACATTCCACTAGGCCTTCTCATCCAAAGGGGACTTGTATGAAGTAGAAGAACTGCACATGAAGAAATACTGCACTTACAATCCCACTTTTCCTCAGACATTGAGACGCCTATTTTGTTGTTGTTGCTGTTGTTGTTGTTGCTGTTGTTTAATTATTATTATTAACCTTATTTTTTGTGGACCCAACCTCATTTGCTCTGCCCAGCTTAGGAATGGAAAGAAGGAAGGGAAGGGATAACAGAGGGGTTTGTTGTTGCCGTCACTTCTTGGTGAGTGACCCGCCTCGCTTTCTGTGGGAATTGAAAGGCAGTCTGTTTCTGTCTCAGTCAGCTGTACATTGTGTCCTGTTTTGGGACATCACTCAACCCTGCTAGGTGCTTTAAAGTCCCGACAAGATGCCCTTCATTTACAATTTCAGATGGATAGGTAGAAACATTTCAGAGAGCCCTTTTCAAACATGTAGATATGGTGCAGGGTTTCGGTGGCTGGAGGAGAAGGGGGGAACTTTATTCTGCAGAATGAACAATTCTTTTTAAAGCAAAACTGTTAGGGTTTTAGGAGCACGAATCAAAGTCAATATTCCTTTCAAAATTACTTTCTAGGGTGAGCTGTTTTCCTGGGTTCAGTGTGCATTGCCCCTCTAGAATTTAAAAAAAAAAAAAAAAAAAAAAATGTATGTCTTAACACTGTACCACATTACAGCAGTTTAGTTTCATAAGTCTGAGGACCTTCTGTGGTAAGTCTGAGGCTTTGTATTTTTATTTTCCTTAACTTATGAAGCACCTTTTTTAGAATTGTTGATTTGCTGTTACTCCATGCCTATGTGTTGACTCACTGACTTCTTAGAGACCCTTGGGAGCCTTACTTATTTAGTTGCACCCTATGTTTTAGGAAATAGCATTTAGAAATTACATTTAAACTTGCTTCTAGGACAGTGAGTGGCCTAGGAGTGGGTGAGAGAGTCTGTAGTTTACTCAAGAGGTTCTGCTGCTCTTCTGAAATACTTTTGTTTTAAAATTACAGATTTTAAAATGACAAAAGTAATAGTAGCAAAGTGTTCTTTAAATATAATTATATATCTATATATACCTATATAAATACTTTCTTATCACAGTGTTAACCTCTTGGCAACAGCCTAAACTAAGACTTGTAGCTGGGAGAATGCTAGGAACCAGGTCCTCAGACAGCCTCTTAGTTCCATTGTATTTAGTGGAACTACCCCAACTACTCCAGCTACATCAAGATCTGAGCCTTGGCTGTTTTTTCTCTTGTTGTCATCTTATTTGCTAATTTGCTGAACCAGTGACTTCCTTCTGTTTTAAGTCATCAGTTCTGCTTTAATTTAGGGGTGGACGTGTTTGCAGGTTTTGCTGGATAGCCTTTGCTCTTGGAGAGCACAGAAGCCCTGCCAGTGAACAGATCCCATATGACCTTCCCCACTTCTTTAGAAAGTGATACATGGACATGCAGGTGCTGTGGTTTGGTTTGGATTTGCAGATTTCACTTTTATTCCTAATTTATTAATTTCACTCTAGGGAATATAAATGGAGAAACAAACTCCAGAGCAAGTCCTTGAACTACAGACCAGGCAAGAAAAAACAAACACCAATCTGTTTTGTTTCCTTTCTTTCTCTCCCAATAAATAACAAAGCCAGCAACCACCCAGCAAGTTGCAGGTTGCATCAGTAAAAACTGGGCTTAAACCTATGTGACAGATTGCCATTGAAACCAAACTGTTTGTACCAATCACAATTGAAATGTTGTTGTTTGGCAACAAGAGCACAGCTTGAGAATGGAAAGATCTGCCTGGGTTTAACCCCCTCCATACACGTGGTCTCCATGCGCCTGGTGAGACCTTTTCCAAAGTATAAAGTTTCTAAAGTATAAAAGAGAGAGCAAGATCAGGCCATAATGCGTTCCCATCTGCTCACTTCAATCTGCATACTTGATGCATATGCCAGTTTGCTGTTCGTTTTGAGGGTACTGGGTTTTTTTTTTCCTTCTTCTTCTCTTCCTAGACCTGGAGCATTTGAAAGTAGGAGCTGAGTGGTATTGATTGAAATCTTTTTATGGTGACATTCTTGGCAGCTAGAACCTGTGTTTAGAAAGGATACAGTAGATCACAGCCAGATTACCTGATGACTGCTTCCCAGCACTGAAATGCTATTAAGTAGGAGCTGGTAAAGTCTTGCAGTAGCCTATTAATTATAATACAATATGGAGAGAAATGTCATCTTGTGTAATGTGAGAGCTATCAAGGCTGGGAATATATGGGCTTTGGAGAGACAGATTTAAAGACCTATTCCCAACATTGTTCTTAATGTCGTTGGGTTCCTCCCCCTCCTTTCTTTGTCCTAATGTAGATGAAATTCAGGCAAATGAACCCCTGCCATCCTACAGACCATTCTCATTTTCTTGTGCTTGGTGCAATCAAAGGAGTTTTTGCAGGAGAAAAACGGGGAGATGCTGGAGGGCATCACTTTTATTCCCTATTGCTTATTCTCTGCAGCTATGAAGGTTGGCTTAGGAGGCGACCGGCCATGTTCTGCATCAGGATGTTCTTGAAAACTCAGAAAAGGGGTCTTGCTTTCATAGCAGTCCACCAAAAAACAAAAAAAGTGGTTGTGATTTCTGCTGAGGCAGGAAAGGTCTTTAAAGGGAAAGGTGCTGGGCCTGAAGGTCACTAGGCTTGCATGGGCCTCCGGAAAGACACGTGCCTGAGCCAGAGAAAAGGGTTGCCGGCAATCCCTTGCAGTCTCTGGGGGACAACACTCCATTCTCTCCTCTGTGGTCAGTGGAAATAACATGGGCTATGGTTTCTTGGAATAGTTAGCACTAAGCAAAAAGTATTAAAAAATTCTGCCTGTGTTTGGGAAAGCACCAGAATACGGGAAAGGCAGAGAATCTCTTGTGTATCCACAAATAAGTTGGCTGCAATTATATCTGCAGTTCGTTAGTGTGCACTTTGATTCACTGATGATTCATTGATACCTCCTGTAATGTATATTCTGTAGATGTTGAAAAGATTCAACAGGGAGGCTCACTGGTTTTGTAGCTGGCTTCAGTTAAGCCCAACTTCGTGTTCCGATGGTAGCACGTGAGATCGGTATGTGAGCACTGCCGTGTCCTGGTGTCACAAGCACAGAGGACTGGGGAGGCAGTGGGGACACACGCTGGTTTAGTCATCTTGCGAAAACTGCATTTTTGGAAGAGCAAGAAGCTGAGAGGTTGCATTAATTTTTATTATCAATGTCCTTTTCTGAACACTCACTGAAGTTTTTCATCCTAGAGCTAGAGAAAGGAGAAAGATTAAATTCTATTTCAAATTTTGAACAAAGTTTTGGACTAGCATTTATTTTAGCATTTACTTCCTTCTGAAAATTATTGGAGGGTTTTATGTAAAGCAGTTTGCCCTTACACAGAAGTTTGCAAAATGGGGCCTCGAAGATTTTTTTTTTCTTGCTTGCTCTCTGCAGATTTCTAAGAAAAGCTCTTGAGTTTTGTTGAGTTCATTAGTCATTCACAGTGTACTAGGAATTTCAGTAGATAATCCTTGGCCTGTGGATCCATTTGTTCTAAGTATTTGGTGTTGGAAATCGAACCTGTCTGATTTTTATTGGACTCTTTTGAAATTCTTGGAATCAGGTTTCCAGTTAAAAACATGCATTTGCAAATTTAGAATTGGCTTCCTGTGAGCATTCCCCATTTTCATTAAAAAAAAAAGCACCAGTTCCGCACACATCCCTGCCAGTAAACCCTTTTGCTTCTTTGTACATCAAAAATGGCAAGATTCTGACTCAATTTAGAGTATTAATTGAAATAGAAGTGTGACTGCTTATTCTGCTCTTGATATGATCCATATTCTTGGAGCAAAGGGCATTATCTATATATCTGCTCTTATGGCCAATGAATTTTATAGCCACCTCTCTTTGCAATCAGTTAGGAGTGCACATCAAAATATATAGCATTTTTCAGTAAAGCCAGCTCTTTAGTCAGTAACTTATGGTATTAAAACAATTTTATTCTCCTTAAAAAGTGCTTCCATCTATGACATGATGTGAAAGGTGTCTAGGCATTAACCTCTGTTGGGCTGTATTAGGGAGAAAGAATCTAAATTTATTAATTGGCCTGATTTTTTAATGATAGTAGTTTCTACAAAATAGCCATGTGGAACTAGAGTGTATTTACTGCAAGGTGAAGAAATTCTGTTTTTAAGAGTTTCCAAATTTCTTCCTGTTTACAAGGGCATTCCTAAATTGGGGCTGTCAGGCAAGAAGAGGAGGCCAGGAATTAAACCAAGCCCTTCAAAACTGGCCTTAAATAGGACATGATTACTGTTGTCCGGGTCCTCAGCTGGCTTTTTCATATTTGAAAGAAGCCAGACAACACACACTCCTTCCTCCAGAAGTAAACTTTGGAGATAAATTAGGGAAAGGTGCTTATTTCAGCCAAGGATGGGAGCTGCAGTAATACAGTTCTTTCACTAGATAATATTCCTTTCCTTAACTCTTGCTGTGCGTTCTAATGTAATGAGGAGGGAGAAGAGAGGCTGCACTGATACTGGAGTCACTTAAACTCAGTGTGAGATTTTAGGAAGAGTGTAATGAAATAGGCTTTGATGCTAGAAATTTGCATCTTAGCTTTGCTTAGTATCATTTAAAAACAAAAAAGGATGGTAGTAACGGCCTGCAATCTAGGGCAGCTGGAGCTTTTGAGAAAGTATATTTATATATATATGGTACCATATAATTAGATCTATGCTTTATTGTTTATGTGCCTTTTTCAAATGCATTTTGGAAGTTTGTGATGTCATTCATGATATCCTACCATACCCTTTCAGAATGCACGGCAAAAACCAACCCAAAGTAAACATCCCTTCTCCTGTGGCATAGCGAGGCAGATCCCACTCCCCTTCTGCACCCTCTTTGGCAGCCTGACCCACAGAGAGGACCGTCTTAGCACTTTGCTGTGAGATTTCCTGGAGTCAGCTGGCTTTTGGGAGTGGGAAGGGCTGAAAATTACCCTAGCAAAGTGCATTCCAGCTATCCAGCCAGAGCTGGTCTCGGAGCTGTCCCAACCAACACAGCGTCCCTGGCGCGGTGCCGAGACGCGCTGCAGAAGCCCCCAGCTGCACAGTGCCCTTACAGAGCACCAGGGCAGCAGTCCCCTCTTCTCTTCCCCTCCAGAGCTTTACGTAAAGCATGCTTGAAATGGACTTTGCTGTGCTTTTAAGTTCCTGCTTAGGAACGGGAACAGACTTGAAAGCATCTGCCACTTGCTCCAACCCGGAAAAAGAAATCTG